GCCCGCTTGACTGTCGGCGCTCTTCAATGCCTTACCGCCGTACTGCTCCTCCGCGCCGGGGAGGTCCATGTAGATTGCGCTCGGGCTTTCAAGACCTCCATCGATTCCTGGCTACTCTTCTGTGTCTCCGTCACGCACGCGTAGGAGGTCAAGGGGGTGTTGGTACGGCCGCTTTGGGCGGGTCTTCTGGTGACCATCACCATTCAACGCGACTTTAGTATACGGGTTCACATTCAGTGCGTTGAGCTCCACATTGAACAGGCACCCTGTGGCCTTTTGTTCGACCTGGCATCAAGTCTTTGTTCAATGTAGCGACTGTAGTCCGTCTCCACCAAGTCAACCTCGCGATGATGAGCGACGTTTAGGCTGCTGCTAGCGTCTAGGGATTCGCTGTCGCCACAAACTCAACAATCTCATCGAACTGAATGACCGCCAGGAACTTGGTGATCGACGAACAGAAAGGACCAAGAGCACGCGCGCTTAATGAATAAGTAATAAGGCCTTATCCGGGGAATGTTTTTCGTTGCGGGTGAACGGTGAAGCCAAGAACAACAACCACACAAACAAAACAAAACAACAAACCGAAACCAAACAAAACAAGCAGCCAAAGCCAAACAAAACAAACAAATCAAACCAGCGCGAAACAAAACAAAACAAACAAAAGCACAAAACAATCAACCCAAACCAAACCAAGCCAAACAAGCAAAAAAGAAACAACAAACCAACCAACCAACCAAGCAAGCAAGGAAGGAAGCAAGCAAGCGAACAAACAAAACACACAAAAAAACAAAAAACAAAGCCAAATAACCAAACGAAACTTGAAACAAAACAATCAAGCAAACAAACCAAAACAACACAAAAAGCCAAACCAATCCAAGCAAAAAACAAACCAAAAAAACAATCAACCCAAACCCAGCCAAGCCAAACAAATAAAGAAACAACCAACCAAACAAACAAACACAACCAAAAAAAAACAACATATTGCCACCCGTTAACATTTAGTAAGATTCCTCGCCTTCTTCTCTGGATTGGATCGGCTTCTTCTCCGGGTTCTCGTTCTCACTTGCGATCATGCACTGCACTCAGCACCAGTTCACATTTATCACACGGCTTGCCTCCAAAGCACTTTACTCACACTGTTTCCACCAGCTGCATTTTCTCCATTCAGACCCCTTTCATTTACTAACAGTGCAGTTTCGTGCAGTTTGGCGCAGTTGCGTGGAAACTGCGCTGCACTCACTGCACTCTAAAAGTGCAAGCAGTATGACAATCCCTGTCAAATTCAATTGTCCACGGAGGTCCAACCTAGGATGAGTGAGTCAAGCGATTTGCCTTTTTTCATCTCTCCATGTCCTAGCAAGCCTGTGCCCTCATAGGCCGACTATGTGTTTAATCGTTCAACCCCCTTGTTGGTCTCTTTGTGAAGCCTTGTGTGACCATGTCAGAGCTTGCAGCTAGAATATACCAACCAAAGGGTGATTCCAACGACCTTGCCAATATATACATATACATATGGATATATCCATCCAAACCTTGTGGTTTTCCATGTGGTAAGACATTGTGTTTCCAACACATCCTTTTCTCTTCAAGGTCACGTCAAAGCTCGCAGATACAATATTCAACAAAGAGGTGCGCCATATACATATACACACATCCAAACCTGTGGGTGTTCCTTCAAAAGTTATTCCTTGCTTTTGTGTTTTTTGATTTCTCAACAGTTGCTCTGTTTGTCTCTTTGTGGCTCATGACAATGTGCATGGCAAAGTGTAGCTTCGGTTGCAGCTTGAACCTGGGCACACCAAGCTGGAGAGCAAATCCCGCGCAATGCTTGTATGCCGCCAACATCTCGAGACCGGCAGTCCTTGCAGCTCGGCTCTCCCTCTTTGACAGCCATAGCTTCAATCTGTAAAGCAAGCTGAAAAAGGCATTGGACCGCTCCAGGCATGCGTAGATCTGATTCAAGTAGTCGCTTTCCGGATGGTCCACGCAAACCTCCAAGATCTTGGAGTGCGGCCACTTTAGAACTATAGTAGTGTCTGCGCCTTTGAACCAATTCCTTGGAGAAGCAAGCTCGAGGCTCGCATTCATATCGTGTTTATGGGAGAATATCTTGGTTTGGCCTTCTTTGGTTCCTGTTCAACGAGTTCGCTCCACCCCCAAGAACCCTTCGTTCACACTTTGAAAGAAAGTTGTCGCCATCTGGCCATCTGAATCCGAAGAGGTGTCCATCATGTGGATCTAGCATGCTGAGCCATGTTATGAGACTGTTGAGGTGTGGACCATGGACGGATGGACGATCAATCCATTCAACTGCATGATTGAGCGCAGAAAGTCTTGCTCACACCCAGTCATAAATGGCGGTGAATCAAATCCTCTATGCCTAGAGACATCTAGAGACCAACACCAAAACCGGCTCACACATGGATGAATGATGTAGACTCTTGTGAAGAACTTCTACAATCCAAAGGGTGTGTGTGTGTGTGTGTGTGTTTTAACTTGCAAGATGTACAATTTATAAATGAATGAACATATGATGCACATATCCCCCCAGCTGCAGCCTTTTTCTCTCTTCCACTCTTCCGGTAGCGGGGATAGTGGCCATAGTGGCATCGAAGTCTCTCTGAAATGGTGGATTTAAGGCTGAAAATTGCAACCCCACTTGATCACCTGAGCAAAACACGGGTCTAGAGTCTAGACTGATTTAAGCGGAGACCTGCAAGTGGGAGGTGAATTGCAGTAAAGTTCCAAATCCTTCCATACCAAGCCAAATCCCTTCCTCCTTCCATCCGACCCCCCCTCTCTTGGCTTTCCAAAACATTACGGTACTTCACCTGTCATTACAACGAAACCCAAGGGACCCAGAGACCGTTGACGTCGCCCAGCCGGCGCCCGCCCAACCAGATCCCGGGGGCGCCTGATTCTTGGCCGCCTCTCCAATGAGTCGCTCATCGTCCGTGAAGGCCACCTGACCGGCCGAGCCCCGACGTTCGACGCCGTCACCGGCGCAGCGGACACCGCTCACGGGTTGGAAGGGCGAAAGGTCACGGGTTGGAACGGTGCAAGGTGTGGATCGATTCGGTCGAAGAAATACAGAGGGCTGCTGAGAAGCAAGAATCATGGAAGGCAGAATGGTACACTCAATGTGGTTCCCAAGTACCTCCTGCATCCTCCTGCTCACTGCAGCATACTGCTGCCATGCCAAGCCACATAGGATGGTGTGATGCGATTGCCCTGGTCGTTGGGGATGATCTCCACTCGACCATTCCTGATTGGAGCTCGGAGAAAGCACCGAAATGCAGGAGCTCTCAATGGGAAGAATTTCGAGCACAAGAAGAAAGGGAGATGGAGTACACACCGTTAGGCATCCATAAAACATCAACTCAGGATTTGAGGGCATAGAAGTTGCAACAAAGTCCTTTGTTTGTACCTGTTTGTACAAAGGACATTTGTTCTTCATCTGCATCTGTGTTCCACTTGCGTATATGCTTTTGGGAACAAAGCCAAAGACAGAGGCAAGAGTCTTGTAGATGCCCACACAGCCTGGGCCGACGTCGCGAAGCCCAAAGAGTGGAAGTCTTTGTCTGGTGGTAGCTAGGTTGAAAGAAGAGTAAACATGCTGCTGATTGTACTTAATGAATAGTATTACTGTATAGTAGTTACTGTATAGTCTTACAAACTCTATGTAGCTCAAGATCACTCTCAAGATGATGCTGCATGAGCCCAAACTAGTTCGATCCACTCGCAGGAAGTTTTAGATTGAAAATCCCCTACATTCGCAAAGCTCCGCAATACGCGTGCCCGCCCAGCAGCTGTAGGTGGTGCCCAGGTCGATGCCAATCACTGGGCCATCGATCTTTTTCTCTTCGTCCTTGGCCACAGCGCTGGCGGCCAAAAAGGCCAAGGCAAGTGCCTTCCTGAGAGCTCGGTGGCAGGCCGGAGGGCTGAAAAGGATGGCTGAACATGCGCTAAATGGACGTGGGTGCGTGAAGGGGTCAGGGATCAGGTGGCCCTGGCGCAGCAGATCTGTTCAACATGGTTCAACCACATGTCTTCCCTGATCGAAAAGATCCCCCCTTCTCCAACCACTTCGGATCCGGCACGGATCGATCGATCCGGCCCCGGTTTTTTGCGATGCAGAATGGCTCAAGGGCAGGTGGCTCGTTCGATCAAGCAGTGGGGCTCGAACACCGGAAGGCGTGGAAAAAACAGTGTGAAGAGGTGTGTTTCTGGCTGTTTCTGTACTTCGAGTCCAGGCCGGCGTGCGTAAAGAACATACAACATCACTTGCATGTCACCTGCAGCATTGCTTGGGCTCACTACCTTCCAACAGTGCCTCAGGTTGCCTCAAGCGATCCAAGCTTCCACATGGCCATCAAAATTTCCACCGTCTTGGGCGCTAGCCGAATTTGCCCTGATGAACGCTGGAGCCAAGAAATGCGGAAAGTTGCTTTGTTGATGTTGGTTTGTCCTTGATGTAAGCGTTGTATCTTGTTTGCAACGGTCACCTGACATAGAAGGCATGGCATACCATCCAACATCTCAAGGTAGGAAAGGCTTTGAAGGATACGTGCCATAAACCAAGCGAAGGAAAGGGCTATAGATGGCTACAGTATCAGCATGTATCAGCCAGATTCAGCCAGTATCAGCTGAAGCAGCTGGCAAATGAGACAAGCACTGTGCGGGTACCTCAAGGCTCCCAAGAGGACTTGACTCACTCCTGCAGATAATTCAACCATGGAGCATACTGTACTTCGCATAGTCTCATCAGTACCAAGAACATACACCTCTTCATCTATCATGGTCTCCGAGGGGTCTTGTGTGTCTATACATACCCTGGGAGTCAAAGACTGTAAAATGATGTAAAATGAATGGTCTCGAGTCTCTCGAGGACCTGAAAAGGATTTTCTATACTTCGCTGAGGAAAGTATAGTCTTTGGACTTCTACACGTAGGGTTTTACCCTCATGCGCCCACGTCCCAATCCCCACGTAAAACCCGCACCCAAGACCGCCGCAGTGGAGATCTTCGGCAACGACCTGGGATGCAAAACGGATTGAGAACAGGCCATGGAGATTGAGCTGAAAACCATGATTCAGCTGGAACTCCATGGGACTCCACTGATTGGCAGTCCCATGGAATCCCGTTGGGATGTTTTGGAGGTCCGGTCGCAGTCTGGTCCTTGCACCTGGTATGAGGGCGGCCGGCCGACCTGGCTGACCTGGCTGACCGAAAGGGGTTCAGTGAGAAGCACCGCACCGAATGGAGAGTAACTTTTGGGGTTCCGTAGTCCCGCACGAAGCTTCTATCATTGCAATTTGCACAAACATGATGAGCAATTGCCAAAGAAAGATGCTCCCAAAACAATGTGTTGCCAAAACATGCCAAAACCTAGAGGCTTCATGACTTGGCTCACTAGTATAGTCATATAGTCGTGTAGCAGTTTAGCTCACTTGACTGTCTCCCCCGCCCCCACGTGCACTTTGCGACATTCGGCAACAATGAAATCGTCAAGCAGCCCTCATGAAAGATCATCATAGATATCAAGATCTTCCAAACGCCAATGTTCATTGCATCCAAGCGACACTGTCAGAGCCTCTGCAACAGACCCATCTGTTGGAGGCTCCCTTTCAGGAGTGCTCTCCTTGACTTCCTTCAGATCGGAACCCCTGACCCAGCCCTGCGCTCCGCACTGGGCTGGGTCAGACTCGACACCAGGCGGTTCCTGGCGGCAACCACCACAGGCCATTGCACTTGGGAACTTTGATATCTGAGATACTGAGAGAACGAAATCAGCATTCCTCCAAGAAGATGGGCATGATCATGCATGAATCTATCTATCTCAATCAGACCGGTGAGTCACACTGGCCACACTACTCAAACCTCAATAAGTCACCAAACCATGAGCCATGAGATTGGAAGATTTGGAAGGGGCGCTTGGGTCCCATGTCATACCATGCTTTCCTGCCATCCGCGAGGCGCCTGCGCGCGCCGGTCGACCGGCGAGATCTTCACCTTTGGTGCTGGGCCTGATCGAGGCCGACAGACTTCGAGCAGAGGGGGCCGAGCAGGCGGGCCAGTGAAGGCAGCCAGCTTCTTCGACTGGATGAGAGTGGGGATGATCTGGGGAGACAATATGTGAAAACCCAATGCTCAAAAAACGGGGCCACAGGTCGTTTGAATGAGGAGCTAGTAAGGAACCAAATACCCCTGGGTTCAGATCGGATCGGCACTCCTGTCTTGCACAAGGAACAACCCCACACGCCCCGCAAGATCACTGGGGCCATCACTGAAAAACATGCTCAAATTCTTTGGCTTGACCAACGGCCTGCAGAAAACACGCACAAGGAGCCCCGGCCTGACCCTTTTCGCCAACATGGCTAGCGTTAGGCAAAACATGTCTCACTCACATCAAAACCAAACACGGCACATCATTCACGGTCCCTACCACCATCACAGTTTCATGTTCAATCTGCAGTTTCAACAACATGTTCTTACAAACATGCCCTGTATGTTGTTTTCGATTTTCTTCGAGACTGCTGGACTACATTGGAAAGTTTTGTTGGTACATGTTTCACAAATTGTCATCTAACATAACCATTGTCCTTTAATTACAAAGTGGCAGTCTTGATGGCACCAAGCCCACAGGGAAGCCCCAAACTGCAGCACAGCCCACCCGTTGTTTGCAAATACTAGCATCTCCACCCTGAACCTGTATGATCAATTTAAATTGTACAGCAGGTCATACGACACAAGCCCATACCAGGAACACATACCATCCGAGGTGATGTTGTGAAAGTGGAGCATGAGTACAGTTGCATTTGACCCTTTTGCCGGACTCATTAAAAAAGATTGATTAACCATGGTTTATTTTAACCTGCTGCTTGTCGCCGCTGGCTCAGGAACCTAATTGTCCTCATGCACACCGTGTGGCATCTGTTCGCTCATTGCCCAGGTGCACCAGCACCTGTGTGTGTGTGTGACACCCTTGGAATCATAGGGCTTCCTTCGAAGTGGCTTTCCTTTTTCTTTTTCCTTCTCATTTGCAGCAGGGGATCCATAGAATCAAACTTTTTCCACACATCTGGGCCTCAAAAAAAAAGTATCTCTCTCTCTCTCTCTCTCCATTTTGGTGGAGGCCCCCCAAGCATGAGAAGGGTCAAGCCGGTCTTGGCTTGAGGGACTTGAGTGGCTAGACTCGACCGGCTTTGACCGAAACAGCACCATGGAGCGCCCGAATTCGGGTCATGAACAGGTTTGCAGCAAGTGTTCTTGGAAACTCCCGTGTCAAGAATCATGGGGGTTCATCCTGGACATCCATCACTGATCATGGGGTGGAGTCGATTTGCCTATCCAGTCCAACAAAGCTATCGCATTTCGGTGGATGAGTGGTCTGATCAACCACGTGTACCTGCATGTTCTGACCTGGAAACTTCCTATTGGTCCCTGCTTTTAGCTAGAACAAGAACTTCAGCCAGTGCATCGGTTTCGCACTCTGCAGTTGTGAGCGAACGTCGTCAACCTGTCGTGGCCTCTCGCTTTCGCGGGCTTTGGAGGTTTCAACTTACCTGAACTCTTAGGTTTTCACTTAGGTTGGCGAGTGGCAAACCGCAATCGAGTCAGTACGCATTTCCTAAGTGCGTGTCTGTGTGCCATGCCATGTACACGGAATGTTCCGCTGTGAACGGAGCATCCCGTCTCCGTCGCAGCGATGTCTCACGCGCCTCCCAGGTGTCGACCAACGATGTTTCATCACTGGAGTGACCTGAAGGCGATGACTGGAGGATCCAAGCACCTTAAGAATGAGCGGGATTCAGGCAAACTACGATGCCAAGCAGTGATACCAACCCTAGACCAAAACATACCAAGACCCAAGAAACACCCTGGTTCCACAAGCATAAGTGGTAACTGGGATCACCATGGGCAACAGACTTTATTGCTACCCCTCTGTCCCACAAACAACACAAAATGCTGAACGCATCTGAACCCTGTCATATTATTGTTCTTGCTGCTGCTGTTGTGGTTGTTGTCGTCGTTGTCGGTGGTTGAGATTGGGTTGCTGTTGCGGCAGCCGTTGTGGCCTTTCCTTCTTCTCCTTCTCCTTTTCTTCCTGTCTTTTCTTGCTCTTGTTCCATCTGACTCTGCCTTCTGTTGTTGATATCGCGGTTTTGCCGGAAAAGACTGTTGTTCGACATTATGATTCTTCTCCTTCGCCTCTTGTGCAATGCCACTGCGATGATGCACTCTGGCCCTGTGATGCATCGCATGCAAGGCCTTTTTTGGCCTCAAAACTGGAAACATGTGCTAAGGAGTTGGCATATGGAATCGGAACAGCAATGAACAGCAATCGAGTAAATCAGATGTTAATGTTAATACATGACTCTGGCAAAATATTGACTCATCGACAATGGCAGCAGTTGCTTTTGTCAGTGCCTTCAGGGGGACCAGTTCAGGAATATAGAACAGTCAAACATTCAATCGAAATTGCCCAAAGCTGAGTAGGTTGACGGATTATGATTGTAAATGATTGTATATAAAGAAAAACACAAATCCAGGTGAAAGATTCAACACATCTGACACTGACCAGGGTTAAGATTTAAAAACAAATAGCAAAACAATGTAACAAAAAGACATTTGCTACCCTGTCTCCAAGCACATTCCTTCAACTCTGCGCAACTTCTTCAAGTTTAGATTGCAACGCTTCCAGCGAGCTGAGTCCACTGGCAGGCTCTTGACCAATCGGCGTTCTTGGAGTCCTTGGGGAGAGCCAACTCACATAGCAACAGACAAGTCATGCCAATGCTCTATTTGTTTGGAGCCGGGCAACTATGTCCATCCAATTTCAGCCAGGGTGCTTCGATGGAGAGCCCTGGCGAGACAAGGTGTTGCGTCACGCAGAAGTGCAAAAGTTACGAAGGCCCCTTTCAAGCAAGGGTCCTCAAGCCAAGGGCTTTAAGAAAGTCATCGAATGGGGACCAACATGGACCAACCAATTACTGTTAGAACGGGATGATTTTTGAAGAAGTCGTCCGAAAACCGCTTGGGATCTTAGAGTCATCCCGTGACTTATACAGCAGGGCACCCCCTCACCACATCGGGCATCGTTCCTATCACCACATCCGCCACCAACGACTCACCTGAACAGGTCCCGGTCCCGCCGCGATGACTCATCGATCCGTTCTCAGCCGAGGTCCGTCGTTTCTGGAAGAGAGGGTGTTCTCGAGGCCCGTTCCGAGGTCCAAAGACTTTTACCGCAGAAACATAGAAGGATGTATATTGTTTTAACATAGAGGGATGTATTTCAGTTGGATTTGGCGAGCATACAGGGATGTATTTCAGTTGGATTTGCATTTGGCGAGCAGGGTGGGCGGGACACCGCAGTAAACTCAAAACGAATTTAACATAAGAAAACAATGTATTTCAGTTGGATTTGGATTTGGCAACCAGGGTGGGCGGGACACCGCAGTAAATTCAAAACGAATTTAACATAAGAAAACAATGTATTTCAGTTGGATTTGGATGTGGCAAGCAGGGTGGGCTGGACTGCCCACTTGAAAAGTAAGTTCCGATTCAGGTATGTATCCTGGTCAGATAATTCTGATTCTCAGGGTAAGTAATCTATCGTCCAATGTGCGATCCGAAATGGTCGCCTTCGATGGCGACGCTGGTTCAGCATCCAGGATGACCTTGGCTTTTGAAGCGTGTTTGCAGGACGATGCAGGATGTGGTTTCAAGTGGATGAAAATCAATCACCGGTCTGGGTCATAATTCCCCTAGCCGCTTCCCTGGAAAGCAAAAGGCCAGCAAATAGATTTCATTATCTGACTGTCCATTTGGTAGGGAACCCAAATAGGACCAAAAGAAAATCGTCAAAGATTCAAGGCTGCTTCAAGGTTAGGCACTGGCTGGCTAAGTATCTGATCCACCTATGACCCCCCATCATGGGGGGGCAAGTGCTTTTGTTCCAATGAAGCAAACTATCTTTGAACAATGATGAAGGAAACCTCCTAAAGCAGGCCAAAGCCAAAAAACATCATTATAATATCTTATACAGTAATCATGACAACTTGGATAACCTTAAAGTGATTGTTTCCATCTTCCTGGGCCGCGACCGTGGATGAAGCAACCTCTGTGCCCTTCTTGGTGCTCTTGGGCGGCGTCTCCAGGATCTCAACCTGCCAGAGGGTCCCTCTCCGAGGGACCGGAGACCCGGAGGCAGGTGGAATGCGGCCAGACCTGGCGACTTCGGAAAGAACAAGCAGTTTTAAAGAATAAAAGCAACAATTGAATGGTTAGAGGAATTGCATGAAGTATCATAAAGTCTATGAACAAAACTCTGCTCCAAAAAGGAGGTACTCTGCGCATTCTGCGCTACTGGTGCTTTCAGGTTATTGGCTCAGGCTGCTACTGGATACTAGTTAAAAATACAAGCATCCATGAAAAGCAGCGGAATCTGGACTCCTGATATCAAACCAACTGGATTCCAGCTAGCACTATATTTATCAGGAACCGGACTTTCGTTCGCTCTAGTCTGCCACTGGTTATCCACTAATTCACTAATTATAGTGGCTACTGATCCACTGGGAAAGCTTAAACGTCTCTTGTTGTCTTGTGTTCCACTTGACATGAACTCTTCATCGCCCCTTTTAGCTTCACCGTCGCATTGGCGTACGCCGGCTCTCTCTTTGGGCTTGGCCGGCGGAAAACGTTGACCATTGAGAAACGCACATGTTCATGGGCTGCAGTGAGTATAGAAGCCAAAAAGGTCAAAAAGCAATAACAAATATAGATGCTAAGCTTGACAAGCTGTTTCTGAATCAGCTGTCCCCACAACCAATGGGATTAGTCTCTTCTTGCCTCTATCAAATGTTGAGACATAGCGACTCATAGCGAGGTGAATCTGTCCATTGTCAGGGGGCAGGTCAAAACGGAGGGTCCCGTGAAGTGAGAATTGATCGTGTGTTCGCTCCTAGGAACCTGGTTCCTACTAGCGTGGCACTGGTTTCTACTAGCTTCTTTTTACTACTAGTAAGGCACCTGTTACTACTAGCGTGGCACTTGTTTCTTGATCGTGTGTCATCTGTTATTTCCGGTGCAAATAAAGACGTCGATGGCGGCCCTTTCCACTCAGACTGTCAGCCTCGCGTTTCTTTTTATCATTCGATCTATCATTCGATCTACATGCCGGCAACAACCTTCCTGTTTGATGAGTGGGTTGCGAGCAAAATGAAGCCCTATGACGACCTCTAGCCGTCGTTGTTGCTTCCACAATCGCAAAAGCCATTGATGTTGATGTACTTGGCTTCGATCTATCAGCACATCCACCGCTTTTGCACATGACTCAGGTTGTCGCCGGGCGATCTACGTCAAATCGATGGGTGCCGAGCATTGGCGCGAATGAATCGCTGTGTGAGGTTCAGAGGAGACGGAACACATCATTTTAGTATTTCTTTGGAGATGGTTTTACTTAATTAAGTGCATGCGAGCTTCTGGCTTGACCCCATATCTGCTTCAAGCGTACGTAGTACAAAAGCGAGATTCTTTTCCCATGTGTTGCTGTCTTCTGCAGATCTCCTTGGGGGTCTAGGCTGATTGACCCTGGCGTGTTGTTTGGTCGAAAAAAATGGAAGCTGCCCACCCAAACCCGTGGAGTACAAGCATGTACAAGCGCTAGAGAAATGTCCCATTCTCTAAAAGGGCAGGAAGGATATCAACAGGAAAGTACAAACCCAACTGTGGTGTACATGGATGTACAATATGATGTAACCTACTAACTAACCATGATATGGAGCTCAGTAACTCACCTCAGATGTCCTTATAACCTATAGTCCTTAGTCCTTAGTACTAACTATAGTCCTTAGTCCTCAGTCCTTCGCATGTTCGGAGCTTAGTCAATCACCTCCTCACCTCGGTGAACTCTCCGGCTCAGAGGGGGACCCGGACATCCGCGGCAGCGGGGACCTGTCGGCCGCGGCGGGGGTTTGCACTTTGCTAAAGCCGTATGGTCACCCAGTGGCTTCACTGGCATGCATATATGTAGCTCATATAAATAGCCTATATAGCTCATATAAATAGATATCTCCCTAAGGTCAGCAAGGGTCAAGAAGGAACTTCTCTGCAAGGTGGCCCATTTCACGCCACGTGGCCGGAGGACGGGTGTTCAGTCGCCTTCGTTCAGCGTCCGGACCAGGGCTCCGGTGGACCAGTCGGTCGAACCGGACGAAGCTGTTTTGGGCTTTTGAAGAGGAGTGTCCCAATGCCTTCCCCACACCAGATTCTTGCAGCAGCAGTCACAAGGTTAGGGGTGCGATCCATGGAGGAAGTCGGGGTGCCCTTGTCACATCCACTCACGTAAGGGGACTAAACACCACCCCTTTGTGACTGCTGGCAGGTGATCCACTTTTCACTCCGTAGTGGAGTGCCCCCAACAAATCCTCCCAAGAAAAGGTTTGTTGCGATGGGTAGTGGGGAAACCTACGGTATTGCCCACCAAAAAACAACAAGTGATCCACTGAACTGGAACCACGGCAGGACCGCCTTATGAGTCTGTCAGCTGTCCTCTCCAACGGTCACAGCATCCGTGGTCTCCCGGCGCCTAGTATCGTCCCTGGTACCGTCCGCTGCCGCCTACCGCCGAATACCTGAGGACAGGGAGAGTTTCCGCAGATCTTTTTGAACAGAAAAGGTATGAACATTTGCGAGGACATGCGAGGACATCAAAAACTGTAGCTCACATAGCCTCTTGTACGATCTTGTACACCCTAGACTCTGTGGTATAGGGCTCACATAAAGCCACTGGGAAACAGCTGACTGGCACTGGCAAACAGCTGACTCACATGACTTCATATCCGGATGAAGTATGATGAAGTATGGATCTGATGCTGATTGGTTGGTGCTCAGTTGATTGAGATTTACATGAGTTGCTTTCATGTCACTGCAAAGAACCACCATTGATTCTGTCATTTCAAATTGACTTCCCGGTTCCACAAAGAGAGCGATGATCAGATCATCCAAGCGAACGAGCGATCCGCCAAGTCACTGGGGAGTGTAACCGGTACCTGCCGCCAGTCATGCGAGAGTACCGTCGACAGCCTGTAGTGATGGAAATGCACCGGGTTTCGCTGAAAGAACCTGGAGATGTTCTGGAATTTCTGACCCGGAAGAACCATCAGAACAGTTCTGGTGCTCTGCGAATTTCTTCCAAGTGGGGAGGCTTAGTGAGGCGATGTTTGTGTTCCAACAAGTTTTCACCACAATATAAAATGTCTTAAAATATTGAAAAGTGTCAATACAGTAAATATATTGTGTATAAAGTTGGAAATGACTTTGGGGACAACATAAATTGTCCATGCATTTCAGTGAGTTTGGAGTGTCCTCGTTCACCTGGCGACAGTGTACCACTGTGTTGATGCGAACCACACATCCTCGTCTAGACAGGTCCACGTCCCCGGCGGTCTCCATCGCCCGAAGCGGTTTGTCTCACCCGCCTTGAGTGCTGAAGGATGACCTTGGGAGTGAGGTGGAGAGGTTTTACCTTCGACTGACCAAAACAGGAAGGCAGAAGGACAGCTTCAATGGACAGCCTCGACAACCTCTCCGAACAGCTGTGCAACAGCTAGAATATAAGCATGCCCCCCCTAAAATGAACCCAATATATCCCAATCTACCAGGATCACCCTGTCTGGGTGTTCCTGTCTGGTGGTCCAGTCTAATACGGATGATCCAGACGATGAAATATGGTCCGAACGAACAAGAGCCGACCCTCCTGAGGTCCTGCATGTATGGCATTCTCCTGAAAACTTCGGAATGCCCATCGATCGCATCGTACGTCGAAATGAGTTGCAAATCTGTGAACCTCGAATTCCACACGATGTTCAGATGCCCCATGTCCCAAGCCGTCCCGCGAAAATCAGCCGCATTGCAGTCAGGTGGCGGCGCACCTGCGGCCGCGGTAGAGATTCATCGACGCGTGGTCCAGTGGGCAATGCCATTCCTATTGCAACACGCTATATAGCACGCCTATGCAGTCGTGGGGTCCGTTGATCATTGTCGTGGCCTCTGAGAAACAAATCGCCATCACCATCGCCCTCCACCACTGCCCTTGAATAAACGCCTGAATAACTTGGCCACAGGATTCCTGAATGACTGGTCCTTCTTCCTTCTTCCCCGTTCTCTTCCCATTCCCAGAAAACACACCTCACAATTCAGTTTCCACTATCGACCGTCTGGTTTGGGCGCCGCCTGAGTAGCTTGGAGGTGGTGGAGGCAAACCACTCCCGCCACTCCTTAGTTCGTCGCGGATCGCAGCCGGCTTTGTGTGGATGGGTGTCCTGCACGGACGGGGATGCTTTGCGTTGTAGACTGGTGTGTGTGTGTGTCCAACCCTGGACAAAGGGTTTTCCACCACCACTCTTTCTACCCTACATGAGCAGGGGGGGCAAGGCCTCCGGCGACAAACCTTGCCCAACGAAGCTACGTCGCTGGAGGGGAAGCACCGAGAGACGTCTCGGTGTGTACCTGCTTTGAACGCAATGACACCAATGGTCCGCCCTGCTGCTGTTTCTTTGTTTCCATGGTTCTTCTTCATGATACCCTCCCACAAACAGGTTTCCCACTGTTCGTGAGCTGCAGCCGGCCGCTGACCGACGTCAAGTGAAACAATCGATGTTCAAACACTTCCAAGTTGTCGGACTTTGCGCCATGCTGTTCTATCGCCTTCCTTCCCAACGTGGCAATTGCGTTAACTGACAACCCAAGTTCGAAGTGTGTCCCGCTCAGCCGTCCCACTCGGGTGCTGAGTGTGATCCCCGTCACAGGGGCGCCGATTCTGCATGGGAAAGCAACCACCCCAACGCACCACCGCTCACTGGACTCTCACAGGAAGGCACCGACACCCTCACAGAATCAACTGCCACACCGGCCGCCGGGCCGAAAAACGGTTCTTGAAGAATACTTCGGATTCCAGCTTTCAGATTTCAGATTTCAGCATTCAGATTTCTTTTCATGTCTTCCAATCATGTGTGTGTTTCCACGTTTTGCTATATTGATGCCGTGATTCTTTCATAGACAGAACTCAAGGATGGGCATTACAGCTCTTCAGCCTAATTCGAGATGCATGAATACACACCTACCAACAAGCTCACATCTAGCACCACCTTACAACATACTCACCGTCGACACTTGAGATGACACCTTCAACAACAACAAGACAATACAACTCAGCACTACTCCGCTGCCTTTTTGCTGCCGCGCCGCGCCGTGCCATAGCTACGACCACGACATGCATTTTCCGTGGCCCTACGCTCACACCACGCCACCACCATTACCTACCACAACCACCCCCATGGCCGCTGCCACAGCCATCAACTGCACCCACCTTTCCCACGACACAACCATCGGCATACCCTCACCCACAACCACAACCATTTCCATCACCAACTTTTTTTGTCCAACCCTACAGCCACTACACTGACCTACGGCACACCATCCACTTGGACGTTTGTGCAACCATGTCACGTGCCACCGCAGCCCACACATCCAACTCCAGTCTTTCCGACAGCAGTGCCTCCCCCTTCATACCTGCTACCACCACAACATCCCACACCACCGGCCGAACTTCCTCCCCCCACTACACTGACTCATCCCCCTCCAACACAGCAACAGACTGCGATTGCCAATCATCCATCCACAGACCCCCAATGCGCCATCCCCCAGGGCGTTTGGCAGCCCTATTCAGCTTTTCCCCCAGTCACACAGCCTCCGCTCCAACCGTTGCCCCCGCCACCACCTCCACAAACCATCAACGCCTCAACACCAGTCCAACCGCCACCATCGGATCCAACACCACCAATCCAACCCATCCCCACGACTGCCCCGGACACTCCATTGCCAGTCCAAAACACGACCCCTCCAGCTACTGTATCCCAACATTCTGCATCCCCATCGCTAGTATCAGCCACACCAGCGACCGGATCTTCACTACCTGCACCAGACAAACCTGACACCATCGCCTCACCAGCACCACAACCACCTTCCCCACAACCACCACACAGCAGTCGCCGCCACCACCACAAGAGCCGACGCAAGTCCGACCATCACCACAGAGGACGCCACCGCCACCGCCGCCGACATCGCCATCACCGCCACTCCAAACATCACAGCACAACCCGGCGACGGCGTTCGCCTTCAACATCCACCTACACATCCAGCCTTACGCCATCTCGCAGTCGCTCACCACCACAACCCATTGATTTACGCCCTAACACTGAACACGCCAACCCAGACCCCTCTCAATTTCCCACCACAGCCGTCCTCCGTCGCCCAATCAACCGTTGGCGACCTCCACCCAACTTTCACACCTTTACACCTGCAGACCAAATCCTGGAATGGCTCGAATTCCACGCCACCCAACTCGACAATCCCAACCGACCACAACACCAGTACATTGCCAATATCCTCACAGACTGCAACATCACCTACAAGGAGATCACCGATTTCCGACAATATACTCACGCCAAGTGGAACGACACCACTCACCAATACGACCAATTCCAGTACTACGCCATTTCACTTCCCTTCCTCAACACCAAAGCCACTACACCAGAACCACCTGCGGTTTCCCGAGCCACATCAACCCACCGGGAAGTCGCCCACATCAACGCAGGCCACACAGGCCCCGTCGGCAACATTTCCAACATTCTACGCCAAGGCCGATTTTTACCCAGCACACTCCACTTTGCCAACTACCCTGGATTTTTTGCCCAGGGCGTTCGCATCACCCACAACCAACCCCATGACCACAACGAACTTGCCCGCATCATCCACAACACCTGGCAACTCCACAAGAACTCCCATTCCCTTATCATCACACTCCTTGCTTGGGGTGCTGCCACAAAATATACCTCTGGAGGTGAGGAACACGCCATGAACCTCCTTAACGACCACCATGGTGCAGTCTTTCATCAGAAGGGCCGCTGCTGGGTGATCCACCCGGACCACGCCATTGTCAAAGGACTGGCCTGGTCCACAAACTCCACTCCACCGGACACATAACACCACTACCACACATCTACACACCACTACCACCTCCACATCCACTTTTGGTCTCACACCACCACCTAACCTTTGCTTGTAGCAGCCAAAAAGAGCCTCCTGCAGCGGCCACGCGAATTTTGAACCCTCAATTTTTCAAGCTCTGCAGTGTTTGCTGTAAACATCTTTCTTCGAATTGTACCGGCTGTTTTGATGAAGTATTTCACATGTCAGACTCTCATGTACTTGACTGTCCAACCGACATTGCATATTCGTACTTTTGCCTGTGGGAATTTGATGCTCGCTTAATTCATATGCACGGCCTCGTGATGATGCGCTCCCTCAGACTCGCCGCTGTCCGGCTGCTTTGGCGCGCTGCTGCAGCAACCTGTGACGATTCTTTGCTACTGTACACCCCTACATCTCCGAATCATGAGCAGCACACCGACACCTCTACACAACGACGCCTCAACTCTCATACACAGAACCACAGTGGTACTTTCGCAGGTGCAAAACCTGCTCCGACAAGCAACAGATATTGTAGCACACCTCCACACTGTTTTCCTCCACCACTGCCACCAAGCGGATCCCACTTTCCGCCAACACTTTCAGCCACTTCCAACTCCGCCCAACCACCCTATACGTTTACCATCTACCACCTCATCCTGTGACTCAGCACCATCCAGACCACCCATCCGTTTACCAGCACCACCCTCAAAAGACTCAGACGACACTCCAACAACACCCCCAGATCCACAACACCACAACACGCAAGCGGAAGCAACCACCCCCACCACCACTGAACCAACAGGCGGACTGGGATGCTTGGGACGGCGACGCCGACTGTCGCCTGGTCGAACTCAAAGAAAACCCCAAACTTCGTCCCAACTGGACCACTGTGGCTCGCCGAGTGGGCTTCTCCGTGGAGCAATGCCAAGCCCGATGGCAAGAACTCAAAGACATGCAACGTCAGCAGGACCGGCAACTCTTCTCCACACCACTACCAACCGCACCACCAAGGCAAGCACCTTCCCCATCACCAACACCCACATCACCAGCAGTTTCCCCAGCACCACATTCACAACCGGATTTCTCCCCTTCCCCCAAAACAACGCCACCGACTTCACCACATCAAACGACTCCTGCTGCTGCGCTGCTGACGCCGGCTGCTGAGCGGGACCTTAGTGAAGACAGTCATCCGGAGAAATCTCCACTTACGCCCGTGGTCAGTTATTTCATTTGACCCGTTTCACCCATCTTTCTTTACGGCGTGCCGCAGGACAAATCCACTGACCTGCACTGACATTTGGTTTTTCACATCCAGTCTACTTTTACCAGGTTGCCCAACTTCGATTTGTCAGTTTTCAGGCTCACTTCAGCTCCGCAGCCTTTTGTACGCCATTTTATCCCATCAATTGTCATGGCCAATCCTCGCGCTCGCCCTCATAGCAACCCCGCCGACACAGAACACTACCTCCCACAGCGCCCTCCGAGCTGGCTCCAACCTTCGATTTGCACTCAGCCCGATTTTCAATCCCTCAACGGCTCTTTGGACCTCCTCTTTCTGGTCAACCAACACCTCCGCCGTCACCCATTCCACACTGAACCTATGCCAAGCCAGACCTATTTTCAAGACCAGAGAGCATACAACCTCCTTTACCGAATGCGCGGTGACCTGATCTTGCTGGACCGCCTGATCGATAACCTCTCCCAGGCTCGTCGGCTCCTTCAATTTGTTACCACCGCCCCCGGGCTCCCAGGACAATACCGCATCAACCCCACAGCCACACTCTCCAGCAGAAACCTGGCCATTCTACACAACATACCGCCAGGTTTTCCACTACCACCCGGACTTTCCAGCCGTTCACCCTCTCCCTCACCACGTACCCCACCACAAGACGCCGAACGCCTACACTCATACTGGACAGGTCCCCCACCACAAGCCACCCCGGCAACCCACATCAACACTACCACTCACACCAGGGAACGTTCACGGTCCCGCGACAACCTCTCACATCGCATTGGCTAACTACAGCAACATCCAACCTCAAGCTCTACGGCAGCCGCTGCGCAGTTTGCCAACTATGAGACGGCATCCCTGCCCACGGCTACTGTTACATTTTGTTTTTCAAGTCTCACTGACTTTCTCGGCGAGCGGCAAAATTCAGCCATCCAACAGAACTACTTCTTTTCACACTCACACTGCTTAATGGTTTTTCGCATTTGCTTGCCACCATTTTTCCGCAGCCATTTGACCGAACTGTTTCTTCATAACCGTCCGCCCTTCCTACGACATGATGCCTCGCGATGATCTACGAACACCACAACCTCCTTTCTCAGCGACCACCACTTTTTCCCCTGGCCCACCCACTCCACACCACAGCTACTCTTTACCGAACAATCCCATGCCATACTTGGCTCCATCCGTGACACACCAACCTGAACTACTCCTGCTCCACTGGATGATCAATACTATATCCTCACTTGTCGAGGATCTCCAACATCACCCCATTGTGCAAGATCCCATCCCCCCCAATGTCTACTTTCACCAATACACCAGCCTACAGGCTTTTTCTGCAGACACGCAACACACTGCGACATTTGATCAACACCACCCACGACGCCCGCCGTGGACTCAACAGGCTGCAATTCCTTCCCGGCTCACCAGGCTCCCCTGGCCACTACCGCATTGATCCCACCCTTGACATCCCACCACAGCAAACCAACCTCCTCTCCGGAGCCACCTCTCAACGCAACCCAGCCACACCATCACCCACCAACACACCACCGCTCATTCACCGGTTCAGTGGCAGGGACAGGTCTCGTTCCCGAGACCGGCTTCCCCTCACCACACTCTCACAGCCGAACCACACAACCCCTCGGCACCAGATCATCCCAGACCGACCTTCCGCAGCTCCCGGCCACCGCGGACACCTGCACCAAGCACTTTGGACGGCCTCCAACTCCAGTTCCACCTCCTCGGTAGCTTGCCACCTGCTTGCTGACACACCGTCCTCCTCCCCCTGAGGCGTCGGACAACGCTTGGTCTCACACATTACGCTTTGCTCAGAGATCGAAAAAACCCGTCCTTTTAGTTTTCTTCACACTATCTCCATTTTACCACCCAGCAGTCACACATTTATCTCCGCAGCCATTTGACCTCTCGACGGGCCGCTTCATACATCAGCAAAACAAAAGCGATGACCAGATCAGAGGGTTTGCCCAGGCTACCTTTGGAAAAAGTCACTTGTCTCAAAACAACCTGTTTCGAGACAGAAGAAGACAGTTTTGAGACAAATAGATAGATTTTGCATGGTTACATAGGTTAATATGATTGATTTTTCTACCGAGGAACAATTCATTGCAAACATGCTTTCAGTGTTACAATCAACGACTGTAGATTTCCATCAACCTCTATAGACTCTATACATATGTCAGGTTTACTTAACAGCCCATTGAATACCAATAAGGAAGGGTACACTTTGATCCGCCACACACGCGTTCCATTCTTTTTCTTTCCTCACCCATCAGCTTTGCCAAAAGGAATGGCGACAACGAGACCAGTACATAGAGAGGAGCCATCAGCCATCAATGCAAATACAATTCTGCTTGAATCAAAGTACTCAACAACAAACATTGTATAATTAAAATGTGTCAAACTTCACAACAGCAAACATTAGACTGTTTGCATACCCGCTGAATACTAGTGACGTTCCCCTAAAATTAGGATTTCCAATGACAGAGGTGATGCTGTCAGGCAGGGTTTGCCAAACAATAGCAAGAACAAAGCGGCGTGATGTTTGGTTGTCTGACACACCGCGCTTTGCAAATCAAACTTGCCCCAAGCTCACTGACGATGAACCAGGACAACCTCAGTCAGTCAGTCAGAGCCAAACCACTCACAACAGCCAGTCAAGAAGTGTACGGACTTAGACAACATGACTTAGACTTAACTTATTTAGATTTTGACTTGGGCAAGAAAAGATTCAGGCTCATGTCGGGAGTGCAGTTTCTGTCTGACTTATAATTATAGACTAGAATGTCAGACTCAAATCCCAGATCAGTTCAACGCAAAATGGTTTGATCACGCTTTTTATTTCAAAGCACATCGCGAAAATCCAGGGTGAACAATGACAGGGCCTTCAGTCTAGTCTAGAGTCAATGTCTAAGTCTTCGTCAAAGTCTCCGTCTGAGTCAAGGGGGGGGGCAGCAGGTCCGGTTCTCCTGGACCCACCTCACCGGGAAGTCCTCACTCTCTCCGATCACATGCGTGGTCCTCCTCCTAAAGCCTGGAAACTTACTCGCCCATGAGCCATCGGCTTGCTTGATGCGCATGAACCATGTAGGTGCATCCCGAGATCCCGGAAAGGGATCCAACTTAATCTGGCCTGCAACACTGGAGCAACTCGAGCGCTGCACATCTGTCCACACGTTGATAAATCCACGGCCAGCGGCTCTTGGCCCACGAGGTGCAGGGTCAGGCCGAGCATCACCTGGGGCTGCTCCCGCAGCTGGAGGTTGAGGGGCACCATCGAGCACAGCTACTTCAGCTGCGTCGGGCGCAAGAGCTTCAGGGGCTGCATTGGGTTCTGCCACAGCTGGAGCAACTACTTCCGGAACTCTGGGCTCCACAACCGGAGCTGCCACTTCAATTTCTGCATCTGGTCCACTCACAGCACCTGCATCGTTTACTTCTGGGGCTGCTTCAACAGGCGCAAGTGGAATTTCAAGCTGAAGGGGAAGAGAGGCAGCGGCTTCAGTGTCCATCACTGCTGGAGCTGGAACTGGGGCAGGTTGCATTGGCTGCACAGAAGCCGCTGAGCGCTCAGGTTCAACAACTGGAGCAGCGGACGAAGGTGCATCTTCAATTGGTGGAACAACATCAACATTTGAAGTACGCCTCCGCTTTCGAGCCCCCCACATATGAGACTTTGCTTTGGGCTTTGCTTTTGCTTTAGCCTTTGCTTTGCTTTTGGCCTTTGCTTTTGGCCGCCGTTTCTTGTTACTGTCGCGCCACTTTTGTTCTACAATCGACCAGCCGGTTTGTTTCTTGGACTGGATCTCCTCTGCTACTTCTCTAAACTCACGCTGCTCCTCCAATGGCATTTCTGAAAGAACCAGCTCGTCAAGCACATCACCGATGTTTTTCCTTTTTATGGGAGTCTGCATGAGTTCCTTTGTTTTTTTGACCCACGGCTCATCGTTGGCCCCAATTTTGTCTACAAGAGCGTGCAACAGCTGATCGCGTCGCATACGCTTGACATTGAAGAGCTCTTCCGGCATGGTCAACACTTCAGCAAGCAAAGCCATGTCTGGTATTGTCACTGACTTTTGACATTGCATGTTTCCAAAAAATGCTTTCAAAAGCGGCTGCGAAGTAGTTGGTGCCATGAAGATCTTGCCACTTTCAACCACCACCTCATGATCCACAACCTGCCACCGTTGAGGACTGAGCAAGAACTTCCACTCGGCTGTACCCGCTGGGTCTAAGTAAAAGAGGTCTTTGCCGGAGCCATCAGAGAAGCGTTGAAGAGGCCAAAAAAGCACTGCCCAGTCTGCAGAACCAAGACTGAAGCCAATGTATCGAACCTCATCAAATTCATCTCTGTTACACATGATGGTAAGTTCCATGGCAAATTTGCTCAACTGTCCAGATTGAATCCGAACCCCTTCTTGCGCAAGGTTGAACATAGAATAGTGCCGCAAAAAGTTCAGCGCTGCAATACCTTTGTGAATGGCTTCTTCACTCAAAGTCGCCCAATTCTTCCTGGACATCACATTTGACCACTCTGCAGGTAGCTTGTGAACTCTTGCAAAATACCGCCTGCCCAGTTGCACAGAAAAGCAAAAATAACAATTGAAAACATTCAACAGATCAACAAATTAGAAACACCATGTAGTTGTATTCCCGACTCTGGAGAACTCCTGGCCTTTTCCGCTTTCTATCCCGCGTTCGTGGAAAAGCTTGCAAAAAAGTGGCACGGTCCACATGGGCCTTGTGCCCAATACCCCTGGAGTCAATCACTGTAGAGTTTGTAACTATTTCCTGCAGCTGATGAAGTGTTTGTTGTCGGTTTTGGCCGCTCTTGGAATTGTTCCGCAAAACGCCATGAATGTCCTCGATTATTTTGGAATCAGGCAATGTCTTCAGCAACCCAAGCAATAGATGTTGGGTACTTGGAGACCTACGATTCCACCCATCTTCTTCACACGCGAGATGAAGCATCCGAATCGCTGGAGTCAACACGGTCCGCAGATCCTCCAAGATGTTAGGACAAGCCCGTGCATCAGCTGCAGCTTGCTCAAGACTCACCAAAATCTGATGGTCTGAAGACATCAAAGACACAGACTCCTGAGAATGGTGAGTTTTGACTGAGATCGTGATTCAGTGAAGAAGGTGCTCCTTAAAACGTTAACGAAGTTTGTTATCACTACATGTCACTCCCCCACACATACACAGAACAATGACAACACTATTGAACATTCTTCATCACATGGCCTGTTGCAATCGGCCATCTTGCGATAGCAAGCCAGAATAGCAGTCAGGAGGCGCGGAACTTTTTGAAAGAGACCAAGCCCGATGTTTCAACAAATGCTGGCTCAACTCTGCGACTTTCTCGCCAGTATCTGCAAATTCTGAAGAGGCGAGGAGATCTACAAGCTCACCTTTCTCTGATGTTGCAATTCCAGCAAGTTCCCTCAATTGACCTTGGATTGGCGCAAATAGGCTCCAGGAAAAAAACATTCACCCAAGACTTAGACACAGCATCTGGTACAAAAGGGCGCTCACTCAACACAGGGGAAACAGAAAAATGATATCACTCAGCAAACCCAGGCAACTGTCCTTGTTCCAATGTTGCATGAGCTCAATGATACGGGGAATATGATCTTCCGGGCTCTTGATATTTTTTACAGTTGAGGTGTACCAACACCACAGTGGTCTCGTGCACAGCAAAACCACAATCACCATTTGATGCAGCTTTTTGGACATCAAATGCCAGCACAGCTTTAAGCCACCTCCCAGTTTCTCTTTCAGGCGCCCAAATTCTTTTCTCACATTAGTCTTGTCTTCGTCTTGGTCACCAGTCTTAGTCTTTGTCATGGCCTCAAGTTTTCGCTTGGTGTATGCCAAGTCGGGATCCACACTTGGGTCTGCGTCAAATAAGTATGCAAGGACTGTTTTCAAAGCTGTCCATTCTTTCAGCTGCTCGTGGGCGGCCTGGTTCCACGAGAACCATCTGCCCTGTTTGGGCATTGTTTGCTTACACTGGAAGGCTTGCAAACCTGGCAGACAATTCCAAACATCACGGTGTGTGTACCAAGACGGAAGCAACAATTCTTTTTTGATGGCCTCCCAATTCTCCATGAAGGCAGGCACAGATTCAGGAGTTTCACGGGCCATCATGATTTCCAATGCACGTTTCTTCTCCTCCTGAAACGCTCCGGATCCATATGGTCTGTAGCTGACGCTAAAGAGGTATTGGCTATACATTTGCGCCTGATAATATTCACCATTGGCGCCGTGCAGACAGCTGAGCTTGATATCTCTGATGAGGCGATGGAATGTGTCCCAACGGCACTGTATCAGTCTTTCAAGCCGGTGCACAGCAAACCTGAGCCACACAGAAGCAGACCTACAAACAAAACAACGCTCTTACCATCTCTCGCCAAAACACAAGCACTGCATTCAAGTTGAGCTGAGAAGACGTCAAATCACACATGACAGACTTCCACAGATAAGAACACTGATTTCTGCCAAGCAACGCTAGTCCTCCGCAGCAAGTAGGACCTTGATCCAATTGTAGAACCAAAAGGTTAGCATCAAGCCACCAGGTTCTGCTCTCTGGCAACAACATCACTTCTTCACCGTCCTCGTGAAGATATCCAGCCCTGACTCTGCCATCTTCTCGGCGCGTAAAGCGTTGTTGGCCTGGCTGAGGTCTTGAGAGGACTACACCAGGAGGCTCGCGAAATGAGTCAAGGTTTGCAATTCTGCCGTTGGTGAGGAGCGAAAGCTGATGGCTCATAGCCTGGAGTTGACGATAACTTGCAACCCGGACCAACTTGTTCTCCTGAGCAATCAAACCAAAGACACCCCCAGCGGAGAGTGTCCACATGTACAGTTGTATTCCCTCCCGATCCTACATTGTGAACCATTTCAATTCCAAAGAAAGACGTCAAGACAGACTTTATTTGACAGTCCTGGGCTAGATGCTCCACAAGCGATGTGAGTTCAAGTTCCCCAGGCGCTATCTGCGCAAGAGGCAATATCACTTGATTATTGGCAAATGCGGCAGAGTTGCATTGATGAGACCAAAGAATTGACACCAACAACTCCTTGCCTGCATGCGTCGAAGCGTCTGCAGCAAGGTTAAAATGCGTGACACCTTGGAATGCCAACGCAGCTCGATGGTCATATATACTTTGACTTCTTCGGACCCATGCGTCCACTGCATTTGCTTTGCACCCTGCCACAGTTGAAAGTCGGGTTCCCTCCAACAGGCCTAAACCCGCGCGCACATTGACAGTGCGCTTCCTGGCAGACTCCAGCAGCTCATAAATGGCATCTGGAGTCATCCTGACTTTTTTTGCAGATTGCAATTCCTGAGATGACCCACCACTGCCACGCCTTGATGGAGGGACTGTTGAACAGTCATGCTCAAGCATGTACCACCCCCTTGTGAAAACATCAATGCCGACGGCCAGGAAAGAGACAATGGCCTTTTGCAATTTCCAGAGCGTGCTACCCACAGCGCTTGACCTTGGCCACATGTGCTGGCCATTCTCTTTCCGCTTCTTCTCAATCGAAAAAAGAAAGTAAACAAGGTCCTGCAGTGAGTTGGCAAGATTTTCACCGCTGATCAACTGTTCAGACACCTCACCAGATTCATACATGGCGTTCCATGCCTTTTGCACAACAACAAAGACTGTCCTGTGGCGATTTGAGAGAGACTCCTCCAAGCCCCGAACAACTCCCCCGGGTGAAATTGTCAACGGCAACATCTCCTCAATGGGAATGCTTCTTGCACTTGTCAATATCGAACACGCTCTGGATGCAATTTGCGGCATCCAGCCACGGACATAGTCGATGATCTGCTGTGTCCTCGACTCTTTCTGGATGAACGCCAGGAAAGAAATAACAGCCACAGTGCTTGCTATATTCTCACGAAGCGCGTCTTGTGGGAGATCTTGTCGTTTGGTGTGGATGAACAATCCATTAGTGTATTCTGTCTCTGTGACCCCATGCCTGAACCACAGTATCCACTTGAACAAGGCCCTGTTCTCGCCACAGCTGCGAAATTTGTCATATAAATGGTCCAGCGCCCACCAAAGCTGCACCTCTCCATTCTCCAAAGTTACAAGGTACCCTACTTTGGATGGCAGCACTCCATCCTGATCTATGGTGAGCGGCTGGCATCGGTCATGCAACAGCATCCAACTCTACAAAACCAGCTTCTTTTTGCAAGTCCGCAGCCTAAGTAGAGGTCACTGTCCAAGTCTAAGTCAACATCGCCAGCCTAGGTCCACACGTTGCTGTATGCAACTGAAGCCTGGCCCGAAAACATGGTGAGGAGCACGCAAAACGCAGGATAGAGACAGACCTGCAGAGCTGTGGCTTTGAATCGCGATCTGAAAAGAGGCTCATCTCCTTCAATACAAGCTACACACTGAATTCTATTTTAGCATGACATGTGCATTTTTATGTTGTTCTACTGTTTGCTGATCGTGAGCCAAGCAAATAGCACTGACTCAGAGGCTCTTGAAGCACACCTGGTTTCACAACACAGAGTTGCACAGAGAGAGAGAGAGGCTTTCTCACACCATCCATATAGTCATCCATGTGGCAGTTCTAGCGGGCGTCTACACACACCAGCTGGTGCATATCAGATATATATTCTGCCAATGGCTCCAAGATGGCTTTTGCATCTTTTTCAGATGAATCTATGATGCTGTACAAAATGTACATCCCTTGATTCAACTCACCAGCAGCAATCTGCGTCCAGCGTTGTCTCCACAATGCTTTCAGCTGCAGCTGCTTTGTTGGAAGCGGTATGCTCTCAGGACATTGGACCAAGTGCGCGGGTATCTCACTCCATGCCAGCGGATTGCCTTCATCCAGCAGGCTGCCTCCACCACAAGAGAGGTTGACCAGCACACGAAGGGTCGTCAAATCACACCACAAATTCTTGAGTGGTTGGATGATCAAACGGTCGCCCAGGAGGTTGCAAATCTTTTGGCAAGCCTCTCTCAAGGCCTCAAACTTCTCCATGCACAACAACACAGCCTCAGTTCCAAAAAGGCAGCGCTGCTGATCGAGGTAGTCCATGAACACAGCAAGGAACCGGGACGGAGCAGGCATGGTCAAATGTCTGAGTCAAGTCACAGTCCAAGTCCAAGTCAAATCAAAAAGGGTCCAAAACAGCTGCGCAGAAAACAACAAGTGCTACTTGTGAGAAGAACTGCAACTTGTCAGGACCTCTAACCAAAGCACTTACGCAAGAGCTCGCAAACCCTAGTCTGGGCACGTTGATGAGCCTTTTGTCCCAATGTGCAAATGCTGGTTGACGACAGTGAATTGCTCAAACATGCTCTGCCTGAAAGAGTCTATAGGACTCTTGGCATGAATTTCATTTTAGGCCAGGGCTTGTCATGGCCAGTCCAAAAGCCCTAGTCCAAGACTAAGTCTAAGTCAAAGTCTTAGTCCAAATGGGGCCAGCCTCATACGCCAAACCACTCCTCTTGGATCGCTTCAACGATTGCTTGTCCAAACATTGGTGAATAGACTTGGCTTTCCACAAGCCGTTCTTTGCATCCTGAATAGCGCCCATCTTCACCTCTCCTAGCAAGCGAGTCTTCCGCCTCCAGGTTCACCAATGGTGGACGCTCACGGTGCAACTTCTTCATGAACTTGCGGGACGACCATAATTGAAGTGGCTTAAGTGTTGGTCCACCGAATAGGTAGTGGTATGTGGTGGTTCTGGAAGAACCAATGAACCTGAGCACCGCTTGGCAGCTTGGCAGCTCGGGAAACACCGAGCTACTCGGCTGTTCCAAGCCGTCTCGGCACCTGAGCAACCATGCTAGTAGCAACAGCATGCTGCTCAGCTCTGCCAAACAGTTGCCCTGCAGCACAAACAGCTTCGATGTGTCCCCCATGTAATTGTTCTCAGGGTAGCGTTGTGATTGAGCTTTGCACAGGATGACGAAGCTGGAGCAAGGAGGCGCCATCCATACCAGTGCCCCAGCAATAGTTGCCGTGACTGCCAGCAACCACAACTCGAGGCCGTGAGGCTCCAACAAGTCGTGACTCTGGTTCACCTCCTGGTCCAGGCTGACTCCCTGCCAGCCTTTGCGCAAGGCCTGCTTCGACAAGTTCCCCTGGCCACAAAAGAATTCGATGTATTGTAGCCAACAGTGGCCACAACGCCTATGATGCACGGCTCGCATTAGCAGGGCCAGGAGCATGCTGTTAATACACCATCCTGCCATCCATGGAAAGGCCACACTCAAGTAGTGAGCCCACACCCTTTGCGATCTTCCACCACACTGGTCGTCTATGGTGTAGAAATGGTTCAACTCTTGCTGCAACTGCTCCATCTCAGCCTCAGCGCCAGCCACATAGATCTGACCCTCGTCGTTCACCGGGAAGTCCGCCACCGCGCCCAAGGTGGATCGATCTACCAACTTGCTTGTTTCCTCAAATCGTCTCTCAATCTCTTGCTCCCGCTGTTGGATGCTCTTCACTTTCTGGTTGAGCGCGTCCATGGTGGCTTGTTTTGAGACCAATTGAGGCGGATTTGAGCCCTGGACTGTTGTTTGAGACAAATCCAGCCTGTTTTGAGACAGATTCATGCAGTTTCGAGCAGTTTCGAGAAAAATTGAGAAAAAACTCCGCCGGCCAAAAAACAATTCAGCAATTTGACAGTAGTTTTCAGCCTTTCTCGTTGGCTCGTAGCGCACGAATTGTGTGCCCCCACAATTCACGCATTGGCCACTGATGCATTCTTAGCACCACATCTCACACATACATAATTTGCCTGTGTTTCCAGCTGCAGCCACCACATTGACAAGTCTTTGGCATTAGTTCACTTAGACTCAGACCTACACGTTGACACCATCTGAAGACTTAGACTTAGACCCTGACACTAGCTGAAGCTTTCTCCCACAGACCTCGCTTGTTGCAAAACTTCGGGAACACATCGGGAACATATGCAGGTTTGTTGCACCAATCACTCTGCAGCTTTCAGAAAAGCTCTGAGTCTCATTTGACACATTCCTGCTTACTTAGGATCATTCAGCCATCGATCACAGCACAACATTCGGGGGGGGAGCAGGTGCTTGAGATGGTGCCGATTGCGATGGCGCCGATTGAGTAGCCACAGCTTGGTGCGCTTGCAGCGCCATAGCTCGCACGTTGCACTTGAAGGGACACCATCCTTGCGCATGGTTACCGATGCGCCATGTCTGGGCAAGGCACGCTGCATGAAACGTATGCCCGCAATGCAACATTTGGGGCCCACCCAACTCCGGATCCGGGGCGGTCAGAGCTTGGCGGCAGATGATGCAAATGTTGATGTCCTCCTCTTCCTGACGCCCATTTGTAGGCTCACGCTGCGCCTCTGCACCATTTGCAGGCTCGGCCTCATCCGTCTGCTCCAGCTGGTCTAAGGCTTGGTCTAAGTCGTGGTCTAAGTCTTGGTCTTCAGCTGCAGCATCATTTGCCATCACCTCAGGCAGGCAAGCATGAACAGCATAGGTCCAATTCAAAAATACATCACGAAGCCCTACTCAGTACTCTAAACTCACCTACGCACAATGCAAACAACCGCCCATTCAAAACCTTATGTGGAACAATGGCAATTCAAACTAGTCCAACTCTATGTACATTTTATTGTTCCCAGGTAAGACCGTGACCACCACCCCACCTGCAGAGACTCCAGCTCACGACCATTGAGAAGAACAGGTGGAGGAGGCAACATGGGACGGGCCGCCGCCTTGGCTTTGGGGTGAGCTGCCAATTCCACAAGCATCTGGTCAACATTGGGAGCGACAGGAGGTCGGACAGGCACAGCCATTGGAGGGCGAGCAGGCGCTTCCTGATTCACGGTCGAGCGATGTGGAGGTGGTCCTTGCAGCGACAGAGCTGAAACCGGAGCCACGGAGAACTGAGCACCCCTCATCATCTCTGGTAGGCTGCGGTTGGTCTCAACTTCTCTTGCCCGCTCTGCGGCCACGGCCTTCGCACCCCGTCCACGGGCTTTGGGCTCATGCTCAACCATCCACACCTCCTGATAGCCTTGAGCTTCAGACAGGGCGTTGATGAATCCATCTGACAACATCGGTTCCGCCTTCATCGCTGTCACAGCATTCTGCACCTCCGCGGAGTTGGCAAGAAGGCATCTGTGTCTACGTCTAAGCCTGGTATTCAGTTCAGAGTACCTGCTAACGCGCAGACGGCTTATTGATACACTCGGCTTCTGCCTCGACAGGAGCCAAATGATCTTGCACAGCCCATGGGTGCTGACATCACTTGTGGTGGTCGGGTCCAAGGCCTCATCTATGGCCTCGATCAGCTCACTCAGCTTCTTCTGCAGGGTTGATACGATGTCAGTATGAGTGTTGAAACAGAAAGAAACAGACTTCAAATTCTAAAAGCTGAACAGACTGCGCCGTTTAGTAAAGATCAGTGGCCTTAAAAATAGTAGTGAAACACATCTTCTTGGACTCAAAACAGCGGTCCTTGGGGAGATTGCGGATCATCGCTGCGCTCCGGGTGATCTTGTCGCCCTCATCTTTCGATGAAAAGAGCTGCGCCCTGCTGTGCATCAAGTTCATCAGAGCTTCATTGGCTGCATCCTCAGTGTCCAAGGACGGCACTCTTGCAGCGGAAGCCTTTGCTGCTGAAGCTGCGGGCTGACCACCATCGGATTCCGAGGTAAGGTCACCATCATCTGAACCCTCATCACGACCACGAGGTGGATGCATCCCTCCTTGCATCATTCCCATGGGGTTCATTCCCCATGGTTGCATGCCCGGCATGCCCATGCCCATCATCATTGCCGGGTTCATGAACATCGGATTCATCATCGTCATTGGCTGCTGCATTGCCCTGGCCTTCTTCCGATGGCTCTGACCGCGGCCCATGTTGTAGCAAGGTGGGACACCACAACAACACAACACTTCTGCACTGTTCTCCAAACAAATGGCTTCCAGAAACGCTGAGCTTGCACAAGCAATCATATTGAGAAGTACATGCCAAGAAAAAACATCTCCATGTCATGACACAAAAAGAAGCAGAGTATTATGATTCAGCAAAAGTACACCTTTCAAGTACACAGACCTGCTCTTTAATTGCTTCAGTTGTCTTCTTCCGTCCTGTTTGTCAACCTGCATGACTGAGGCAAACACTTTGACCCAACTGTAGTGCGCCGCTGCATCTCACCTGAATGTTGCTGCATAGGTATACAAAGCACAAGTACAACATAATCATGCCTCCATATCACACACAAATCAACATAGCTGAGACACGCGAGTCTGAGAAATGCTGCTTCTGTGGAAGCCAAGGGCAGGACCAAACGCATTGTTCAGAAATGTCCTCAAACCTGAGAGCCGGTGCGCTACCAAACCTTCATTCATGTCAGAAGTCCCAGAAAACTGATGGTTGGAATCAAAGAGTAGCTGTCTCTGTGAAAATCTCGCCAACAGAATTCACTCAGCAACAGGGCGGCAGTGGAGAATAGCTACCAAGCAAACACAAAGTGTCTTTCAATAGCGGCCCCCATGTCTGTCTAATTGTTACTAATTGAACTATTTGCATGAATTGTCACACTCGCCAAGTGAGGGGCGATGTGTGGAATGAAATGCTAAAAGGCCACCCAATCAGCTCAGCCAGTCTAAGTCCAGTCAGTCTAAGTCTAGGTCTCAGTCTGAGTTGGACTCATCTCTCTCAGCGTTACCCTCGCAGCCCTCATCACAGATTCAAAATGTCTCTTGGGCACTTGATCCGACTGAGCCTCATTTGCAACATCCTCCAGCAATGATTTGAGACTGTCCGGAATTGGGACCCCTGCTGCAGAGTACTTGTGAACCAAGCACTGAATGGCCCGGTGACGTTTCACCATACGCCGGAGAGACGCTCCCTCATCACTGTCGGTGAGCTCCATGTTGAACGCAGAGGACATTGATCAACAAAGAAGCAAAGCAAACAGTGACAGTTTGAGGTGACTGAAGAGCTGCAATAGAACACTCAACAGTTGATAGAATCCATCCTCTCAATGACGCAAGAAAGAACTGAAAGAACAATTTGCAGAAAAGCTTGGGCCACGACCTCCTGAACAATCTCCTGAAGTTGATTCTAGAAGATACCTGACACACTTGCGCAAGCATTTGTCCAATGTAGCAGAAACCAAGGACAATTTGAGCTGTCACAAGAGCTGCAAGAAAACAAATCAGCAAACGTAGCTAGCCTAAAGTAGGACCTCAACATTTAACTACACAAAGACTGATACTGACAAAGTGACTCAAGCTTGGGCCACGACCTGTTGAACAATGGAACGTGTGGCGCTTCAATATGCCTGATGCAGCTGCGCAAGCATACATCTAAGACTCCAAAAGTTGCAACTTGCTGAACAAGAGTTCACCCACAGTACAACTACATCCGACAAAACAACACCTGAAACCAAGCTCATGGCGGGGAGTCTGAGTCAAAGGTCTCGGAGGCACCTGGTGCAAATTGCTAAAGAAAGAGAAAAGGAGCCCCACCACAGCACAACTGCATCCAGCAAAACTTCTGAAGCCAAGCTCATGGCAGCGGGGTCTAAGTCAAAGTGTCAGGCACCTGGCATGCTGTAGCGACAACACAAGTGTCAGGGTCTCTCAGGGTTGTCTCCTCAAAGGGGTGGGAAACAAAGCAGTTTTGGCAAGTAACAATGGACTACTCCCAACTGCGATTCACCAAGTGAAGTGGGGAACGCACCAGGAATCTATATAAATGGGCCTCTTTTGTCACCACCGCAGCAAGTTTGCAGCAAGCACTCTGCTTCTCTGCTGGCTTTGCTGGCGGTCTTCGATTCCAGGTCGCTCTGACCATTAAATTGTGACCAGCCAAAAAGACTATGTTGACATGTGACAGGAGACACAGACAGATTGGCCAAGGTGTTATCACTTGTACTTTGTCATTACTCTGTAAAATGACTTATTGACAGTACTGTGACATTGCACTGCTGCGTTGTAAGCGTTCGATCAAACGTTGGGCCATGCTGTGTCAGTCACGGTCAAAGTCTTGGTCACAGTCTAAGTCTAAGTCTTTGCCACCTCATTGCCAGCCGTGGTAGCCTTGGTCCCAGAAGTAGTCTCCATCACCACTATTACGGCTCCTTTTGGGCTCCCTGATGGCTTCAGCTCCTGAGATGCTCAAAGGGAGATTCATGAAAGTAACAAATCATGCATCAAAGAAACAAACCAAAAACCTATCAATCAAGCAATGAACCAATGGCTCAATGAATGCGCACGCAAGAAGCTGCAACCAATCAAGCCCAGGCACGGACCAACTTCATTTTCTCAATCATCATGCTGGTAGCCACACCGTCAGGGTTCTTCCAGGTCTGGTTGGCCACATGCTCCATGCATTGGAAGGCGAAATCACGAACGAAGGCTTGTCCCAAAGCGGAGTAATTGAACAAGTTGACTATGCCCTGAGCGCAAGCTCAAGATAATCTAAAATGTGTCAAACGGCTGTTGAACGCAAAGAAACAGTTAAATTGCTGAAAACTGCAGCAACAATGCCTGAACACAAACAAACATCCACATGATGCATACAAGTCACCAGCAACGTGTTCTGAGAGAAGTTGACCTGCATCACCATTCCAGCAACATCCGGCGCCGCCTCCAGGAAGTCATGAATGGCCTGCAGGTCAAAGTAACAGGTAAGTTTTCAAACGATCAACTCATTGGGCAAAAAACTGCAGGAACAAACATGTCCAATCAACAAGCCAAGCCTGGAGAGGCGGTGACCTTTTTTCCTGCTTCTCCTCAGCATTGGGAGCATCACGCCAAGGCGGAACCATCTGGTCAGATGAAGCTGGACCAGCAGGCGCAGACGATGAAGGGGCGTCCTTCTTGTCACCCTCCGCCTCCACCTCTTCAAGCAGGCGCCACGAGTCCACAATGGGTTCCATCCAAGTCTTCTTCCACGATCGGGGAGGATCATAGCTTGCATCAGCATGCACTCCAAAAATGGAGGGGAAGTAGTAGGCGCACTGCCACCCCAGCATATGGCACAATGCCAAAATCACGGTCACTGACCTGTGCAATCCTTTGGTGCCTCAGATGCGTTGTCAGCAAGGACAGTGTGACAGTCAGAAGTCCGAAGCCAAAACATTCAAAAACATAGTGCAGGTCACAGTGTGAGGCATTGATCAACACATATAAAAACACCCAACACCACCACAACCTCAGTGCCGCCCGTGCACAGATCACCTGAATGACCAATTGGTGTCGCCTCTTTTTATGCATCTTCAGGTGGATGAGAATGATGCTGTACAGGAAGAAGGTGCAATCTTTGGCGCCAGTCTGAATCAACACTTCACGGAGGGACTCTGGATCATCGACCACTTTTCCTGGGTAGAAGTTGAAAAGAGTGTGCAAGATTTAGCACGTGACAGTCACCTCACTATTCCTTCTTTGTTTTTTTTTCTTGGTCATGAAATAACGCCAAGGCGCCTCGCTTCGCATCACGGCCTCCTTCTTTGAAACCTGGAATGGTCTCATATGGGTCATCAACCCACATCTCGCGGATGTCAAGCGTCACATGTGTAGCCTTCCGAAATTGGCCTTGGCTAGACATTTTAAGAGCGCAACACAGCCCACATCAGTCAGGCAAATGACACGCTTGAAAATGCACCCCTTCCCACATCCCACCATTGTTCCAAGTTGCACTTCCAGTGGCCAGCCATGCAATCCCTTCCTTGAAGCCAGTGAAAACCACCTTCTCCTGGGCTGAAATTGTCACGAGATGTTATGAACCATGAAATGGTATGTATGACCCAGGCGACAGATCAAACAAAGCGTGTGTGCCATAGCCCAGTTCAATTTCAAGACAAGTGGCGGGCTCTCATTTTGTATTCCCTGTCAGCGCCCCAGGCCACAAAGATGATGTCCTCATTTTTGGTCGCCATGGCTCACGAGGCAAAGGTCTAAGTCTAAGTCTTTCATGTAATCTCATGCACAACTCATTGATTACTTCCAACTATGTATGTCGTTATTGTCGCATTATATTCATGTCATTTTGCTGTCCATGTCTTTGTCTTGAAAAACCTGCAAATCAATGGCGGCAAAACCCAATGACAAAGGACCTGCATCATCATTCATGAGTGAAAAAAACTAATCATGTCATCAGTGAACTCACGTTGAAATGCAACAGCAGGACACACAAGAATGATTTCTAGAAATCAGGCCACGAGCACCTCTCCAGTGTCAAAGTTGTGTTGAGGCCAGGCAACCTCAGAGTGATCAGCAGGGTTTCTCCAAAAGGGCAAGCTTCAAGCTGACTGACACAAGCCTCAAACCTTCTGCAAACACAGCCACCAAACAGAACACAATGCTGACGCCATTGATGTTCATCAGACAGAACTTCTGGCACATCTCAGACTCCCACACTGAAGAGAGGCGCAACCTCAACGCCGACATTTGTAGCTGATTCATGAGTCAACTCCAAGATGCAAGGCCAAGCAAGCACGCAACAAGACATCCAGTGAAATCCACACTCATCCAGCAGTGCAAAGCTAATAACTAATCATTTGCACGGCGCAATTCACTTTTTCATCAATCTCGTGAGCAAACCGTTTAGGCCAGGGCTTGTCATGGCCAGTCAAAAAGTCTTAGTTCAAGTCTAAGTCGAGTCTAAGTCTTAGTCCCTGGACACTGGCACCAAGTGGTATCCCCAGACTTGGAAGACCACAGAACTCAAGTGCGGTGCACAGTCCGGAGACCAACCAAAGATGTCTTCACTGTTGAAGCTGTGCTGGCATCCATAAAGGCTGCCTTTGTAGAACACCGGGACCACGAAGACAGGCTGCTCCTTGTAGCGGCGGGTGGCCTCCACCAAGAAGTTTGGCATGGGCATGCTCCGAAGTTCCCGCCGCCAA